TTTCCTCTATTTCCTTTTACTTTCCTCTTGACCCACTATCATGCTCAGCCTTAACCTGGGTTCCAGTATTCCCTCTCTGTTACGTTACCCTTGCTCAAGCCCTACCAGGTCTCTCACACCTTTGTTGTTCCTTTGTCCCTGAGCTTGTTAACACCACTTCCTTTCAAACACTTTTTTTATATGTGTGCTTAAAATGAAACTGAATCATTGTTCTAGAGTGGAAAGGTAATATAAAAGCTTACACATTAATTTTTATAATTCCGTTTACTTCCTCCCACTGCTTTAGTTTTGTGTTGCTCTACTTTGAAACAAGTAGGTAACACAGTCTTTACCTTATAGATGGAAAATTATCACTCCTGGAAACAATCTTAGCAGTAAATCTGACCAATGGTAGGTTGTCATTTCCCCCCCAAATTTGAGAACAGATTACCTAAGAGAGTTTTGTGAATTTGTATTTGAGAGTGACATTTTGGGGGGAACACACACAAATTTTTCTCCTAGTTTTTAGTTGTACTTTTAAAAACTTTAGTATTTGGTATAAATGCTATCAATTTTATTAAAATGTGTGATTACTAAACTAGATGAGATTTTGCAGTTTGGGGTAGGATTATTTTACCTGAATCTTCTTTTGTGACATCTTCTGGCAATGGCTGGTATTACAGCGCTCCATAATTCACCTGACTGCTCTCTCCAACTTCCTCATCCTTGTTGAGATAATACCACTTCAATTCCACCGAAGGAGCTCAGCAAATATCTCTGACAAAACAACAGGCATTACATGATGTGTCATGGAATAGTAGGCCCAAGGAAGAACATTTAGCCTGCCAGAGCTGAGGGATTACTCAATTAACATACCTTATGCTTGCATTCAATTTCATTGTTTACCACCAAAAAAAGATAAAATACATTTACCCCCTGAAGATTCTAACCTCATTCCATATCAGTGTGTTATATAAGATAATGACTTACTACTGACAATTGTCAACCAGTTCCCCGGTAACCCTGTACATTCAAGTAGTTTTCTACTCTCTCTTATTGGTATGATAAACATGGGCAATATGCAGATGGCACAATCTTGCTTGCTGAAGGCAAAGAGGACTTGAGGCACTTACTGATGAAGGCTAAAATCTCTAAACTTTACGTATCAATTATACCTCAATTTAAATGAAAGAAAAGCAAATCTGTATAGCTGGACCAATAAACGGAATTAGGAGAAAACGGTACAGGTGTCGCAGATGTCATTTTTATTTGGCCTCACCATCAACCCCATGAGAACAACAGTCAAGTAACCAAACAACAGGTCTCAGGGGGAAAACCTGATGCAAGGGACTTCAATACAGAGCTAAAGAGTCCAGACGTCCTTTTGAGGACCATCATGCGATGATGCTTGTTCCCTTTTGTAACGGCCTCCTGTGCTGGCAATAGCTAGACACTCGATAAAGAGAACTGAAGAGGGGTTGTAGAAAAATAATCAGTATACTAAAGACTTCCAGAGGAATGAAGAAATTCGTTTTGGAAGGAATGCTGCCGGAATGCTCCTTCAAAGTGAGCATGGCCAGACTTCATTTCAAGTACTTGAGACATTTTATCAGGAGGGAAAAGTAGAGGGTCACAGAAACACAGAACACGGCCCCCCAGGAACTGGACGAACGGGCGCGTCGACTGCCCCAAGATACTCGAACCCAGGACCAGGTGTGTGTGCGGTGGCGTGGTGCTAGGCGCTGTGTCCCTCCATGCGACCCAGGGTGGTTACATGTCGGATACCACTCAGTGGCACCCAACAACAACCCAGTAAGCCTGCACCTCGGAATGTTCTAAATCCATATTAACAGTTAATGGACTGTGCCAAGACCTCTCACTCACTGGGTGCATAGCCGTGAAGCAGAATGCACGAGCAAACTTTTTATATTACCAGGAATCCATTTATCCCCAGGCCCATCAGTCAAATTCAGATACTTGTTGCCAGCTCCAAGATTTATCAGCTGGAGCTGGGTTTTGAAATTGCTTTGTATTTCCATTTAACAGCTAGGGCAGCAGCATGTTAAAATTGTGCCGTGGTCTCCTTGGAGCCGATTTATAAAGCTAATTTGTCTCTCTGGGCATTGCCGCCCCTCACCCCCTCCTTTTTCAAATGCCAGCTCGGGGCTTGGAAACCATTAAAGCCCCTTCTGGATCCCAAGCAAAATACTGTCCCAGGCAACGTCCTTGCCGGACAGCGATGATAGAGTCCTTGCCTGCTGGCGGGCGATGGCTCCCCTGCCCTCCCAGCAGACACGCAGGCCCACACAGAGGGAACGGGGAAGTACACATTTACTGTACTGCGTGCCGTCTGCCTTGAAGAAACTGTAGCTAACTTCCTTATTAGTATTCTCGCCTCCACCGTGTCTGACGTGCAGCATCCGAGGGCTGGAGCAAAATGCAGTGGAACAGGGACAGACACGGCTCTGGCCGTCATCTCAATGCAGGCTGCCGCCCGTTGGGGGTGGGGGATGCAGCGCATCAAGATTAATAACCTTGCCATAATCCGGGGCAGTCTGCAGGCAGATACCTCTGCCGATTGACCCGCTCCCGGCTTGATGATTCTGCCTGGGGGAGAGAGATTCCGAACCGACCTGGTCCTGGAGGCCCCCCTGATTTTGGATGCTCTCTGATCCTCCCCCCCTCTGGGAAGGTAACAGCGAGCCGTACCATCTGCAGCACACAGCAGCTATGGGAGGTTACGACTGACAGTTTTCATGAGACTGGCTTGTGAGAGTGCGCGTGTGTCTGGGTGTGCGCGTGTGAGTGTGGCTGCCTGCGTTTGCGTGGACGAGTGTGTGTGTGTATGTGTGTGTGTGTGGCAGCGTGTGTGTTGGTGTGGCACCCAAAGCAGGTATAGCCTGCAGGAGGAGGTTTCGACAGTGTGCCAAGATTCCTCTTATACTTGGCATCACGCTGGGTAGCCCCCCAGTTTCCACCACCACCCTTTCCTCCTCCGCTCGCTCCTCCTTCTCCTGCCTTGGATGAGTTTTGGCTTACTTTTTGGCGGAGTCTCTTTGGACACGTTTTTGGGTTTTTTGGCTGGTGTTGGACGATCAGATACATGGAACCTTTGAACACTGATTATTGTTCTCCTTTGTGACTTACAAAAAGAAGAAGGAGAGGAAGAAGGGCAGTGTCGTGCAAGACAAGCCTGAGGATATTCCATGTTCCTGAGTGAACTTTGAGGACCCCCCCCCACACACACACAAGAAGGTAAGTCACGGGACTACTTCCATCTCTGCCCTGGTTTCCCTGGGAAGCGCTGGCTTCCCTGTTGTCCGAGGTCCACATGCAGTTGAGAGGCGCATTTCTAGAGATTGTTATGCTCAGGAGAACTCAGTGTGTGGCATTTGGGAGCTATTTTCATGCCAAGTAGATTATTTCCAATTGTATAACCACCCCCACCCCACCCCCACCCCTCAGCCCATTTTTATACCTCCCTTATTGAACGTTTTCACAGCAAAATCTGCATATCTGAAAATATCTGCATATGGGCGAGGGGGGGCGGGGAGGAGAACAATTCCAGCCTTTACCCTCCTTGAAAGACTCTCAGAATGTGAGTTTAGAGATATCAGAAAAGCGCTGTCAGAGACTGTGAGGGGCAAGGGTGGCCGCTCAGAGGCTGGGGGTGGGGGGTGGGGTGGGGAATGGAGGGGCCATCGGACTTTTAGAATAACTTAATAGTCGACTTTTTTTTTTTCTGGTATCCCCTCCCCCCTGTTTAGTTAAATATTTCGCTGGAGAGTAATGAATATGTGAAATACAGAAAATCTGCTTCAAACGCCCTTAATTAGATCATGAGAACAAAGTCGAAATTGTTTAGGATTTTGACAACCTCCCCTCCTTTTTCCCCCCTGTGAATTCTCTTGTGATTGCATTTCATTAAGCTTTCTGAATGGTCTAAGGAAGCCTTGTGTCTCATGTTTCGGATCAGCCCCTTACCCTGTCCTGGTCCCTAGTGAGGGTCTATGGTTGCAAACTGTTCTTAAAAAGCCAGAAGCATTGGACATTAGATGACTTCCATCAAACAGCTTGCCTAACTCTGTTTCTTCTGTTTCCTGAGGCTCAGCCCTGCTCCCCACAGCCCCACTGGCCTTCAAAGTGAAATTCAGGGAATATTTCACCCGTGTCTACCCTGAAGTTACTTAATTAGAGCAAAACACCATTTCATTGCGATAATAGCTGTGTTCTTGTTATTGGGAGCATTTTTATCTCTGCATCGTTTCTCTTAGCTCTTCTCAAGAAGTGAGACATTGCTTGTAACTATATTGCTAAAATGCTGAGATAGCCCCGAAGTGAAAGCAATACACCTATCCGAATGGCTTATCCAGAAAGGAATGCTGCTATTTCATGGAGTAGTAGCCCACTCAAACTGCAGTCACTGTGACCATATTCAGAGTAGGTGACAGGTATGTGAAGCGAGCCTCCTGGGTTACCTTTCTCTCAGCATTGATATTTCTGAATATGAAGAGTGTGTAAGTGATAGCATATAACATTTATTCAGAGATGACTGAGTCAAAGGTTTATGAAAGTATCCAAATTAAGAGGTGCGACACATTATATTTAAAGCATCCTGCTATTTCTTTCCTTCCTTCCTTCTTATATATAAAAATAAGAGTACTCCTAGAAACCTTGAGCTGAAAAGAAATGTAACACACTGACAGGTGAGGTCATACTCTGGGATAACCATGCATCCGTCCATCTCCTTGATATTGTTACATAACGTCCTTGGGGGAACAGTTCAAGGAAGGCAGTCCAGTCGTGCCAAGAGTCTTTATTTTCTCTCTAAAGATAGGATGGGAAACTCTCTCCTGCCAGGATCATATGATCTGCCCTTTCTCGTCAACTATTTCTGAGTAGAATTGTTTTTTGTTACCTCCAGAATCTAGTGACATTTAACATATTATGAAAATATTTTTAAAAATTCATTTTATATTGGCTTGGATGTAAGCAAATTCCGCAGTATAAGCTCCTTTTGTGTGTGTGTGTGTGGAGAAAGTAATCTGAGGTTCCTGGGACTTGAAGGAGATCACGCACAGAAACAGGAAGCACAAAGTTTGCTGTTCCAGGGAGAGCGAAAGGCATTGATGCTCCAAGTGCCAGTGGTTGCTGTCAGGGGGCTGGGGGCTCCCAGAGTCTCCATGGGCATTCACCTCTCCTTAGGTTAGCTTGTCATCAACCTCCAGCCTTTGGTAACCAGCATCAGGTACAGAGGACATCCGTGTACAGTGCTACAGGTCATCAGTCTTGTGTTATCACTATTCACAATAAAGAGAAGCTCTTTGAACAAGCTGTTCTGGAAGTTGTCGATTTAGTGCCTGTTTCTAAGGAGGATAGTTATTTGTGATTGCACTCCCCCTAACCCCTCCCCTACTTCGCCTTCTCACCCAGTGTGGGTATATTTAGACTTGTGGTGTTGGTAAAAAATTAAGTGCATAGATTATGCTCAGCATCATCTCCCTCCTAAAAATATATATAATAATAAGGATAGCATTTTGGCTCTGATGTGTTTGAGACATAATCATTGTAATGAGTAAATCTTCTCGGGATAGCAACACTTTCATTAGCACTTATTTTTCGGCTATTAATAGAGGTGGGGTACAAGCCAATTCAGGAGTTTCTGATTCTAGCATGTGCGAGGTTCCTGATGGGGCTGGAACAACTGTAACTGTGCCTTTATTATCAGCTCCGGTGAGAATGATGGTAAACATCTTTCCATCAAAACTGACTCCCAGCCCATAGCTTTCTTTTGTTTTTCTGTTTGTTTGTGTGTTTGGGGCGGGGGGCGGGGGGGGATTTGTTTTATGGTAGAGAGTGTTTCAGGGTTTCACAGAGTTGCTTTCATTGCTCAGTGAATTCAGGAAAAAGAAAAAAAAAGAAAGAAAAGCAGAGCCGGGGAGGAAGGCTTCCATTTCTCTAGAGGAAGCCTGTAGAGTCGCCCAAGAAAAGGCTGAAGTTCCCTCAGGAAAAAGATGCACAGCCTCATCTTTTTAAAAGGATGAATGGCTACATGGTTGCTAGACTTTATTGGGGGAGAAGGAGGAAATTCCATTTCCGTTTCTATTTAGTTCCAGTCCATTGGCTCGCCTTTCTCTGGGTCTGTGGTCAAGTCAGCCAACCAGTCCCAACATTCTCCAGTGTGTTTTGATGTTTTTCAGACCCATGGCACTTAACACATGAATGGCTCTTTCCCTGTGTCACCAACAGAGCTGACAGCGGAAGAGTCAAGTATTGAGAATTTTCAAGAAAGCCAGGAAGCTCCTCCAGTAAGTGGAAGAGCAGAAAGGAGCTATTGGGACTCTGGCTCCTCTTGGAAGTGGGTGAGGGATCAGGTAGTCTGTACATGGAGTTTGGGTGGCAGAGTTATTACAACAAATCAGAGCAGCCTCCCAGCATCTTGAGATGACTGGGGTGGAAGGCTCAAATGCACACCCTCCTGTGTGCCTGCTTTTTGTCATCTGCTGCTGAAAAAACAACTTCCCAGGGTCTCCCCAAAATTGCAAAAGAAAAGACAGATGATGGCTGTGAGGACAGGACAGAGACTTTGCAATTGACAAAATGAACTCTGAATTAATATCCCTATTTGGCTCCACAGCTATACAGGGGACTGGGGCTGTCAGGAGGAGGCAAATCAGGAGAACTTCAGAGATGCCAATCAAGCAGAGAGAGTCATTAGTGCTTAGTAACTGCTTCTTAGCAAATCATTCAAAGTCAGAACCCCAGGTTCCTCCTATGTCACTTGGAAATAAGAATTCTTGATTTACCGTATTGTGGTGAGGATTGTTTAATGCAGTGCCATATGGTACTGCATGTTTTTTTAAAAGCTGAACTATTACTTTGTTTTAAAAATGCATGGTGATAAATTAATGGTGTCTTCATGTGTGGCTCAACACTCTACACAATGAGTCCACTATATGACTTCAAATTACATTTATTAAGCAGAAGTGGTCTTTCTGGTGAGTGATCACCATTTACAATGCTATGATTCGTGTATTGGTCAAGTGCCTTGACAGTACTTCTCAGTAATGTCTGTGGTATATTCTTATTTAGTTGTGGGTTTGTATGGATACTCATATCCACGTGTGCATGTATATGTATGCACATTGCCAGTAACTGGATGATCTCTAGGAAGCATAATTTGATATGAGTGAAAAATAGAAATCATCTTATATCTTGAATTCATGACATTGAGGAGGCAAGAAAACCTGGCTTCTGAAACCTTTTTCATGGGAATTCACTGACCGTTACAGCGTTTGCAGATTGCAAAACAACTCCAGACTACAATGGGCTAGTTGACTAAACTGAGTAAACTTCAGGAAGTATATAAATGGAACATTTTTCATGAATATAGTACAGATCGTGGCGATTATCACATTGAATTAGAAAACTTGTACATCTGGGGGAAAGAGAGATCTTTACTGGGAAACGGGGTTGGTGATCTCCCAGACAGGGGAATGCGGTTGTGGTGAGCACCACTTTGGAATTGGACAGTCTTGAGATGAAATGCTTCACTCTTTAGAGCTTCAGTTACCTAATCTGTTAAATAGGGACAATCCGCCATTTAAACGTTTTCTACTAGTGGAGCTGCTAACCACAAGGTTATTAGTTCAAAGCTACCAGCCATTTTGCAGGAGAAAGAGGAGACTGTCGGCCCTGTAAAGATCTACAGTCTGAGAAACCAATGGGGGTAGTTCTGCTCTGTCTTACAAGGTCTCTTGGAGCCTGAATCAACTCCATGGCAGTGAGTTTGTTTGGGTTTGATTGGTGAGAAATGAATGAATGATTATATATATAAGGCACCTGGTAAAATCCTTGAAACAAAATTGGCATGCTATATGTGATCTAGGGACTGTGCCGCTGCTCACTGCAAAATTAGTGGTTGAAACCAAGCCCACCAGCTGCTTCTTGGGAGAATGATGGGCTCTCTGCTCTTGTTTTAGAAACCCAAGTTGAAATCAACACCATAGCAATGGGTTTGATTTGGTTTTTATAGGCATTTCACATGTATTTGTTCACTCCTCTTCACCTGATTTATCAATGAGGAAAACCCTACCCACTGCTATTAAGTTGATTCTAACTCACAGAAACCGGAAACCCTGTGAAATAGAGGAGAAATGCCCAGTAGGGTGTCTAAACCTCTAAAGTTACCAAACCAAACTTGGCGCCACCCAGTCTATGCTGACTCCTAGCCACCCTCCTGTGGGTTTCTGTGA